TGAAGCATCACTTTTTTCATGACAAAGCAACACAAAAAGAAATGTCCTCCAGACCAGCAGGAAACGTTTTTTTTTTAAATACAGAGATTTTTGCATGCTAGAAAATGTCTAATGAAAATTCTTAAGAAAATTATAATTATGATTAATGCCTAGTTTTAGAGTTTTGCTAGACATACAGTAAAAAGATGCACAGACACCTGACCACTTGCAATTAATGGAGATATAACCTTTTTGCTACATAAGAAATCTGCAGGTCTAAAGCTGCTGTAACAAATATCCAGAAAAGATCATAAAGTAGTATCTGGTTAATGCAAAGCAAAACTTTCAGTTCTGTGAACTATCTCTGCTTTTTGACCAGATCTAGGGAACTTGATTTTAAATGTTGTGCCAGAGAGTGAAATTTAAATAGTGCCCAGCCCATAATTTGCAAGAAAGAGACAATGAGAGGCAAACTGATGCACTCATTCAAAAACCATGTGCACAAAATCAAGCTTCTGTTAATAGTATTTTTTTGTTTCTTGAAGGACGGGGGAAATAATAAATCAAAACCAGTGCCTGTAAAATTAAAATTTTTGAAGCAACAGTTTTAGTTGGTTATATCAACACAGCCTAGAAGTATAATTTGTACTCAGTAGCATCTTCGATTAGAAATTGTACAATCCTGTATCAGAATCTGATAATTGTTTATAAAGTGTGCTTGCTACAAGATACTTAAGTATATTTATAGCTAAAGAAAGACTAAATTACATACTAACCTCAGTATGGAGAGGAAACATCTGTGTGCCTTATTTACATATTCTGAAATAGCTGAGCCTCTTCTCTCTAAGTGTCTTAAGATATCCCCTATGGTTAAGACTAAATTTTTGCTATTAGACTAAATAAGAAGCTTGCTTTCATCTTTGTAAGAATCATATTTCTCAATAACACTATTGCTTCAAGGGAGAAGTGATAAAAATGTTAAATTTAAGGGGTATTAAGTACCTATTTAGAATATATTTTGTCTTGTGACAGACCTATATGATTTTCACTCCAAGGTGTTAGGTGAAGTGCTTTAATATGCTTGTTGTGTTTAACAACAAATACGAAAAACCTGGTTATTGGTTAATGTATAATCTTTGAGTAGCTATGAATCACAGTTTAACAACAGTATCAAATTAAATTAAATTAGGAAGTAGGAAGTCCTCCTTTAACCTGGGAGTTAACAGTTCATAACTAGGCAGAATATAGTTATAAAGGCCAAAGTGAAGAACTGTTAAGTTTCAAAGTGATTGGACGCTGGCAATCCTCCCTAAGATATACTGAAAAAATCTACAATTTCAACTCAATGTATCTTCATAATGTGTCATTTGGAAGTTCTTCAGATTATTTTCCTTTCATAAATCTTTACACATCTTCACAGATATGTTGTTGTGCCAGCCATGGGCAAGATAACTATTGGAAAAGATAGCTGTATAAAGCTAACATTATCAAAGGTACTCTGAAAAATGGTGGAAATCTAAATTTTACAAGAATTTTTCTTCTATCACTTTCCCTGTATTTCAGTGATTACCTGAACTAGTCTCTTTCAACCCATACTCATACTCGTGATAAAATCCCTTCATACCTCTCAGACAGTGTAAATTCTACAGAATATGTAATTATTTTTACCAACTTTATTAGTCCCTTAACTGGTAGAATGCTGTAAATTTATTACAACATAAATGAGAATCGGACTTAATTTCCTCGCTACAGTTTGGGATTTCTACACACTTCCTCCTAAACGCTTTTGTCTGACACTAAACATTGTGGTGACTTGAGTATGTTGTACAAAAGATCAGAGGTAATGATTCCTACGTATACCAAATGTTTAGAATATTTTTCACCTTTTTTTTAGAAACATAAGGAAAAAAGAAGAGGAACTAAATTTCTCTTACATGTTTTTTTGCTTGTTTGTTTTTCCTCAGAAAGTATAGCTTTTCCCAAGTGTTATTGGTGTAGTAGTTTTTTCTTAAGTATTCTTTGGGATATAAACAGTCAATAACTGTAATTATTAACAATAATAATAAACAAACAATTTTTCTGTAGCAGGGAAATTCTGAACAACATGGTGTAAGATACCAAATACAGCTATTTTTAAATAAAATAATCATATTTTTTTTCATAAAACTAGTCTAATCTTTATGGAGACATAAGCAAAAAAAGATAGAAATATGTCAATATCATAAATATTGTAAATATTCTGTGTACTTTATCTTGAATTGCAGAGCATCAACTTGAAATTGAAAAATATTTTAAAATGCTATATGTGGTTGTTAGCTATATTAAACCTTATGAAAAACATAAACTATAGTTCTCGTCTACTGACAGTAACTGCATTCTCATATGCAACCTGAAATACTAAAAGCAACAGAACTAAAATCATTCTAAAAATCTCTCTAGATGTTATATTTACTTTTTATGTCAAGTGTGCTAAACAGGAATGTAATAATTTTCCCGACTTTATAGTAATTAACATTTGAATATGTGTTAGCAGCTTTTATGGCAACCTGTTTTAAGAACCTGTTAGAGCTTTTCTAAAGTGAATATCATGCCTACAAAAATAAAACATCACTTGAGCATTTGCAAAGATTACATAGCATTACTTATTTTCCCTTTTACGACTACTGTAGTCTGTGACATGTTTTGCTCCTGAAATTTTTAAATAAATCACATTTGAGGTTGTAACTGTATGACATTGTTCTACTGCATCTCACTAAATGAAACTGTACTACAAACTCCTGCTTAATTTGTAATGCTTACTGTATGATGTTCATTATTTTTGCTGGAACTTATACTTCAAAAACATTTATGGCGTGCTCAATTTTACATTGCAAAATTTCTGCCAGTAAGTCAAGACATATATTCTGTGAAGAAACTTAGGGGTAGAATGCTAATATTTAAGTGTCCTTTCTTGACAGCTGTAACTTGCCCCAGCATAGAGACTCTACTCTCAGAACATGTTGTCTGGAGACTGATTTCTGGGTCACTGAATGAGTATGGAGCTCAAGTCATGCTCAGCTGTAGTCCTGGATATTATTTATTGAGTCGAAGACTCATACAGTGCAGGACTAATGGAACCTGGAGCATAGGCAATGAAAGACCAAGTTGTAAGGGTAAGGAACATACTTGTTTACAGAATATCCTATGATTTTTAATACATATATTTTATTTTATACATACTTTAAAGTTTTTTTTTTAATTTTGCTATCAATCTCCTATAAGTAAACAAATATGAAATTTTCTTTAACTTGTTGAAAATATTTGATTCAAACTCTTTATGTGTAAAGTACAATATATTTCATACAAGAGTCAATGAAATGGCATCAGAAGATTAATCTGGATGATGATATATGTCTGACTATGGATTTATTCAACTAGATAGTACATAAATATTTAGAGAATACTAGGCGATAATGTTATTATTTTATAAGATTCCAGATTAGAATTAGATTAAAAGATGATATTGTTTTGACTTCCTCGGTGAACCATGAAAACTGTACTGTTGGAGAAACATATATATGAGCTTTTATAATGTCTTCATATGAAGGTATCATAGACTACATCAGCCCTGACTTTGGATTTTTAAAGACTTAGAAAAGAGAACAACGAGAGATGTACACCATGTAACTAAAAATAATATAAAACAGTACTCATTTTCTAGAAAAAAAAAATTAAGATGTTTTTAGAACAAGGCTGAGTGCGCTATGTGTACCAGCAATCAATATGATACATACACAAAAGCAGTGTATTTGATCTTATCTAAATGATGATGGATTATGGAATTATGTTGGTTCTGTTTTATTCTGTTAGTTTTGTTTTGAGAAAATCTCCTTTTGAATATATACAGTTGGAAAAATAAGGTGACTCTTCTATATCTTTTATAAACCAGTAAAAGCTTTATCAATTTTATTTTCAAATGTAAAACTAGTGAATTTTTTATCCTATTAACTGCAACTGTGACCCTTTCCTCTTGTGCACCCATACTAAAAAAACTGCTTTTGTATTTGCTGCCTAATGTGCAGCTACTGTTCAGATACTGAGAAGTCTTTGAAAAGCTAGTTCTTCATCAACCTCTACAATTGCAGGATTTCTGTGTAAGTAGAAAATGGGGTGAATCATATGGGATGCAGTTAACCAAAAGGAAATATTAGGTAGATACAGAAACCTAAGGAGTTGTTGACTGAAGATACATTAGTTTATTTATAAGACAGATAGATACATTATTTTGCCTTCTGATAGAGGACTGATTAGGATTTAATTATGATGAACTTCATCCCCTGAGAGAGGTTCAGTAATACTTGTACTGGATATAGATCATTAATATCCAGAAATACACTGTAGAGTATTTTGAGGAGTCTACTGTATACTTTCTGTGTGTCGTTCACGTGCTAAAGGTAGGTTATATAAATACAGATTCTAGCTTTTTTTTAAAATTATATTTCTGAAGCAGCAGGAAAGCTAATTGAAACACTAATGACAAGACATTTATATTTATCAATATCTACTTGTCAATAGTATCTCTAAAGGAATTGTAAAACATCAAATTAAGGGAGTTCTGGATTAAGAGAGACTTGGCTAGTAAAGTTATTTTATTTAAGAATGTGCTGAACAACTGCCTAACAAATAATGAGGTAGCTCATTATTCATACAGTTTAGCTATTTTTAACTGAAGTCACAGTAATTAAAAATAATAAAGCATTTGTAATATGTTTAGAACAATTTATTCTATGGCATTTTAGGAAAATAATTTGATTTCTTAACATTCATAAGTGTGATTTTATCTGAAATTTCAGGTTTAGAACATACGTTGCCAAATTAAGTATAATTATAAGCGCTTACCATGGAACAAAACTGTTGCATTTATTCCTATTACATTTACTTTTTAAGAAAATGTGAGTTGGTATATTGTCTTCCAGTATAAGAAATAATGAAAAGTATTTTCATATTTCAGTTTGTTCTGTTGTTTTGTTTTTTTTTCCTAGTTATCTCCTGTGGTGGTCTTCCATCTCCACCAAATGGAAATAAGATTGGAACCTTAACAGAGTATGGAGCTACTGCAATATTCACCTGTAACACAGGATATACATTAGTTGGTTCTCACGTGAGAGAATGCTTGGCAAATGGTCTCTGGAGTGGTACTGAAACTCAATGCCTAGGTAAAAAACACATTTCCATTTTTTCTTCCATTTTGTTTTAATCAAAACCAGTATCAAGTACTGGAATTCAGCTCAGATCAAGCAACAGCATTTTGAAATCAAAGAAAAATAAAGGTATCTTAAGTACAGTAAATATTGTGTGCAACATATGATTGTATATGACTCTACTGTCATATAACTTTTTATTAGAAATTAAATTATATTTGATGTTGTTGGGATGCTTTCTGGACCAGGAGGGTTTTTTAAGTGACTCAATTGTCTGCATTTACAGTACTTTAACTTGCTTTGTAGAGCAGTCACAGGCTGTGTCATGAAACTAAGATGTAAGATGAGGTTCAGTTCAGTTTCAGCATATTGAGCTTTCACTAAAGGGTAGTAGACAAGAGACAGCCCAAAGTAAAGCAAAAACCAACACCCTCACAAAACCTGAGATGTAGTTTACACCTTAACTTCTCACCCCGACTCCTTCATTCTTCAGACCTACTCATGTTGGTTTACATGCCCAATACAGACATAAGAAAACTTTTCTTTTTCCGTCAACTTTGAGGCTCAGCAGTGAGTGTATTTCTGGTTGTGGACAGTGTATACATGTCTAGAATCTTTTATTTGCTTTGTTTACCCTCCTTTCACATATTTTCTTCTTGCCTCACAGCTGAATGTATTCAGTTGCTCTCAGGAAAGGAGCATTCTCTTCTTTCTGGTCCAGAGTTCAACCTCAATTAAAAAGCAGCTTTATTCTCTGCTGCCTAGCTGCATCCTTTTAGTAGAACACATAGTATTGCATGCCTATCTAGCACATTTTAAACAAAACAGTTTGACCACTTATCATATGCAACAATTTAATTTTTTTACAGAGGTAATAATTATTTTAATAAAAAAACAAAAGCAGAGTAACTAAGATATTATCCACAATAATCCATATTCCTGGTTTTTGCAGCAATGAAACAGTAAGAGCATTGTTTTATAAGGAAATGGTAGTAGCTGTAACATGAATTGTCAGAAATTATTCTCTATCCAGAACTCACTTGTAAAATTTTCAGGTAGAATAGAGCAATGTTTGACTAATTAAATGCATGTCTAACAGTAACATTTGACTTAAAGTTTTTAAATAAATTATGCTGATTAATTTCTAAATTATAAAATCCCTTGTCCTCCCACTCTGTGGAAATGTTACATTTTTAAAAAGTGTATTAACATGAAAATTTTGCATGTTGAAAAAAAAAAAAAGCCAGTAATCTTCCTCTGACTTTGGTATCTTCAAAACATCCCATTAAAAGAATGTGGGTAGATATATTTTGCAGTATGTCATCAAAGAAAACATACTTTTGTCCTATCCGAAGAAATAAATTCAAATCGAAACTGAAAAAACACCTTTTTCTAAGCTTCATTTCTTCAAACCTTCATGCTGTGTGAAGAATCCCTGATGTTGTCAATTCCATGAACAAAGTCAAAATGAACTTGACATTTACATTTACAGTAAGTCAATGTCAATAGGATGTGTGAGAAAGAAGTTTTACATATACCTAAAGAACTGATAATGAAAGGTTGCTGAGCATTCTTAGACACCTGAAACCATTCTTGACTGTCACAATGTCAATAGTGTCACTGTCTTTCTGTGTTCAGATAGACATACATATGATCTTTGGCATATCAGGTTGCTGGTACTCATTACCTTATAGATATAAGAGATAAGTAAGTAGTCCATGCTGTTTTGCCTTAAATTTCTATGCAGAGTTACTTCATAGTACCATCGTAAACGGTATTTGCAGTTCTTGAGTTTGGAGTTCATGTTCTCACCAAGGGGCAAAACTGAAAGAAATAGCTACATTTCCCCTGAGGAAAACATAGAAAATCAGAGCGGCATTTTAAAACAGAGCAACATTCCCCTGGTTGAATATTAAATTAAAAGAAAAGAAGAACTTCTGCATCACAATAACCAGGTGTGATGGGATCACATACCAACTCCATCATGTCTTCAAAAAACCAACTTTCAAGTATCGTCAATTTCATCTTAGCATTTTATTAAGAAAAAAGAATAGCAAGTATCGTTAGATAAACATGATTTTTAACAGCGTACTAATGACAACTTCCTGCATTTCTGGAGATCTTTAATGCCTGAAAATACTTTTAGACAAAATATTTTGAAACAGGTTGCAAGCCACAAGACAGTAATGCACTAACAGACAGCAGCATAATAATCTAACCTTGATGAAAAAGAATGTGGACTTTTCAGCTGCATATTAACTCTATTCTTCATCAGTATAGAACAGATAATTTGATGGGGTATAGGTGAAACACCACTCTCAGAGGCAGGGAAAAAAACCTCAGTATTTGTGTCCTACTTGCCATGTTGATTGCCTTTCTTCTTTCAGTTCAGAGAGTAAGCTGCAGCAGCAAGGAAAATTAAGAGAGAACATTTTCTGAAAAAAAAAATCATGAGATCATGTAATTCAGATCTTAACTAAGATTTTATAACCTTTGATCATGTGTTCCTGGTTGATTCCTTCATTTTGCAACAGTAATGTTTGTAGTACAGTTTTTGCGCAGATAGTTTTACAACATGTCATCTCTTAAGACGCAGAGTGGTCAAAAGTAGTGACCATTGTCTCATAGAGCTAATCTAGCTTCAAAATGGCAGTTTGTTATTAGTGAGTTCCCATCAACATATTTTCAATGCTTCACACTTTATTTTTGGTATAACATATGCTGTATTAAGAATGTTGTCATCTTGGTGTAAGAAATAATGGCATAAATGGACTATGTTTTAATTACTACTTCTTTTGACATTTACAATAGTAAAGAAGTAAAATGACTATTTTTTTACCTAGGAAGAAGAATTCCACTGAGGTGCTGGGTAGGGGAACGCTATGCCTCAGGATTACTTTTTCACATACATGTATTCATCAGTTCCACAGTACAACTATATAAGATCTGTGAAGATACACCAGCTTCCTGCTGGTGTCAGGTTATCCCTAGACTGAAGCTGACCAACTTTTGAAAGATGCTAACTGAAAATTACATGTGTAGGAATATTTTTCTCAGCTCTTTCTTCTGTAACAAACATGCAAGCTATATTGTAAAAAAAAAAGAGCTATTACCCCTCAAAGTTTTGTGGTGTGTTACATCATTTACTGCCAGTGGAGTGCCTGACACCTGCATATAATAATTTAAAGCATAATAATATGTGTTAGCATTCATTTATTTAAACTAACCTGAAATACCACTTCATCCATCATCTGATCAATAATAATTGTATTTAATACTTATGCACTGCTTTCCTTTTTAAAAAACCTATACACAACAAGATAATTCGTCTGCCAACATATGAAAACTAATTAATATACAAACCTCAATCGATTCTGTTTGTAGTATAGATAACTCTTCCCATGGGAGGCTGGAAAAGACTTTTTCTTCTATTCTGACAACTGAGAAATACATTTTAACACTGAACACCCCAGAAGATTTACTGTCAACTATAGCCTATAATTCAAATAGGGTAGAGATGGAGAAGAACTGATCAGTATAGGACTTACATAGTGAACAATACCAGTTTATTCTCAAAGTCAGTTTAAAACTAAACACACTGAAGCTTTTAACTCTTTGGGAAACAGCTAGCAAGTTTACTAGACCTCATAGTTAGGAAAGACTGTCTCTATATACAGCTTGAAGTTCATTTATATGAATTCATATGTTTCTTCTCTGGAGTGATTTGCTGTTGAATTTTGTCTGTTTTAGTTTTTTTACAAATCTGCATGGAAATTGGTATCAGTTACTATTATCTTATCTCCTTGGTCATAACAGTAACATTTTATTTTTGGACACCTGGCTATGTGTGTTTTAAGTGATTTCTGCAGATCTATTCACTCTTGTAATGAACACAGGACCTCTTACAGTAAGAGCAATGATTGTTTTATTACACTTCCCAATTCTTTTTCTAAAAAATTTTATGGACTTTGGTTTCTATTTGATGTATCAGATTGATTGCATTGTTGAATGCAGCTCTGTGCGCTTAGAACAGTTAAGTGTACAGATCTACCCTGCTAGACTAAAAAGATCACATTTAAATCTGGAAGGTTGTTAATCACTATTTAGTCTTTGCTATTTTAAAGTCAGACAAGCTCTATAGTGCAAAAATACTAAACAGCTCTGAGTGTGAAAGTCTAAATCTGAGTTATCACAGGCATGGTGCAAAAGGTTGTATTTCTGCTACTAAACCTCTTACTGCCTCTACATTCTCTCACATAAGGGATATACACACCATGTATTTTAGGCACCCAGTTTAGATGCAATTTAGAGTACAATCTAGGATCCTAAATTTCCAACAAGGTCAATGGAACTATGCAGGCTCCTCCAGAGAGCAATTCAAGAAAGGTAAATTCTTAAATTTTAAAGGTAGATGATGTGAATGCCACCAGTTACGTATTTCAAAATTTCAAGGACCGCATTCACCAAATTTATTTCAGAGGTGCCTTTAGGACTTACCTGAAGCCTGTGAAAATCAGGAGGCAAACACCCAGGGAGCTCTGAATGAGCCTTTCCATTTCAAAGGAATGATAATGAGTCAGAGGTGCTTTTTACCTACACTGTACCTGCATGAATGTAATTCAGGAAAGCTGTAGATGAAAACAGGTATCACTTTATGTTACCCACTGGTCTGTGTAGAATCAATTTCTGATTTCAGGCCAGCTGAGTACACCAATTTCTGTACCTCAGGAAAGGGTTTGTCAAATCATTATTTGTCTCAAAAGAAAGCTAAAACCAATGACTGCAGTTAATGAATCCAAGGTTAAATATAAGACCTAAGTCTTCAGTTAGTTAGAATTATGTGTATTTTTTCTTAGTTATACAAGAATAAATATGATTGTTAAGCAAGATTTTTTTTCAGTTCCACTCAGTTACTCACACTGCTGATATTTCATCTCTCTTCCCCCCTTTTTTTTCTTCCAAGAATAATTGCAGCTATGAGTCAAAAAACATGTGTTTTCATGCATGCTTTGTGTGTGTGAGTGACCATACATGTATGTAGGGCATAGATTAAATTGGAATCATTTATGAGTTTGCTTAACTCCATCTCTGGCATTGGTGGCATTTAATCACGGACTAAAGTGTTTTCCTGAACAGATATTTTTTACTCACTTTTTATGACTTTCACGTGCAAAACTATGCACAAAAAAGTCAAGGACATACTTTAAAATCTAAACTTAAATATAATCTACTCCATTCAATTTTAATGAATTTTTAGCATTTTTTTTCCAAAACCAATAAGAACTCCATATCTTAAGTAATGCTATGATATGTATATAATTGTCTACATTTGTCAGTGTGAAAAAATGCTGCTGCTGACTGTGCTTGTGTAAAAATACCTGACCCTGTAATTGGTAGCTCATAGGTAAATTGCAGTATGATCTTGTGATATTCACTTATATTTCAAATTCTTATTACAATAAAATAGAATTATTTGTATCTTACTTTCCAGATATTTTAGAAGAAAACTGCTGAATCAACCTTGAACCTTTTGAACAATTTCCTTAATTTTTGAGAGCGTATCTTTTTAAACATCCACTAGCAGCCTTCTTAATTTTCTTTTGATCTAATTTTACTTGATAGGAAAATTACATACATTTTGTGTTATTGCAGTGCTCTTTCAGTTCCTGAGTTGTTGGAGTATTTAATCTAAATGAGTAAAAATTCCCAGAAAAATCATTAAATCCACTACCTGGAATGATCTGCAAATGAAATGTCTCACGTAGTAAGTCCAGATATTTGTTAAATCTGTGTTTAAGAGAAAGGGCAAAATAATTTGTATTTTGTGTTACGCTAGTTGGAACATCTCACCTATCTTTCCTGAAATTTCCTGTGGTTCCCTGTGTTTGGCTTCAGTGCAGCAACTGCGTTTCAATTCTTCACTATTTAAGTATAGAAATTTTTTAAACTTCGAAAATATTCTATTTTTTATAAATACAGCTTCTCTCTTCCCATTTTGCATCTGTTTCATAGATTTCCTTTCCCAAAATCTGTGTTTGTCCCAATTGCCTGAATGACAATTTTCAGAATTGTCTCAATGCCTGAATATTTAGGGCATGTGATAAGACAAAGAGAGGCTGAGCAAGGAGAGAAGATGGTAAGGGGGATCATATTATTAATTCGGACAGAAAACAGGGTAAATTATTCCATGAGACATTTCAAGGAGAAAAACATGCTTTCAATGTCCTTGTTACTCTCTGTTGCAATACTCCCTGTCAGGGGAAGAGTAGCTATATAAAAAGTTGGGTGTGAAAAGTTTATATTCATACTTTTTTCCACAAATTTACAGAACAGTATCACAATGTCTCCTTAAAGACATAAGCAATCCTGTAAATAAGATTATTATAATAATCCTATATGTATGAAAAAAGTAATCAAGTGCATGTGTTTTACCATTCTAGGGTTTTAGCAGAGCCTTTAAGTGTAAATGAAATATGCTCTCTAACATTATTAAAGTGGCTTTAGTAAGAAGGAGATTAAATCTCAAAGAAGCTAAGTTACAAACAAGCCTGCTGCTGATGCATATAGCCTGTGTGAAACAACATCACACACTCCCGTTCTAGCAGCACTCATGAGCCTCCGGTCCTTATCCTCACATCTCAAAATGATGTCTTAGCATAGTTTAGAGTGTTTAGATGTTTAGTAATAGAAATTATTGCCAGTTGTAATTAATCAGTGTCACCAAAAACATAAACTATTTTCTCCTCTTGAATCAGTAAGACAAACAGTTTCCTGCTCAGCAACTCTGTTTTCAAACAGAATGAAGAATCTAGAGAGAATAAAATCATTACTTGGCTTCCTTAGAGCCAAGAGTGCTATTACCCTGGAGTGATGTGTGCTGTATTTTTTAACAACAGCTGATATAACTAAGGAGGAAACCGTGCTTGTAGACACTCCTTTCTTTCCATGCCTTCATCCAGGTGATGGATGGAAAGGTGGATATTTCAAAGTGTACTCACCAAATTGGAAAGCAATATAAAGAGAAGTTTATTATAATTTTGATATTAATATGAATTTATAAGCACAGAAAAGGCATTAAATATGTCACTTTAGCTAAGAATCAGATCACAGAATCACAGAATCACAGAATCATTAAGGTTGGAAAAGACCTTTAAGATCATCAAGCCCAACTATCAACCCAACACCACCATGCCCACTAAACCATGTTCCAAAGTGCAACGTCCACACGTTTTTTGAATACTTCCAGAGATGGTGACTCCACCACCTCCCTGGGCAGCCTGTTCCAATGCCTGACCACCCTCTCAGTGAAGAAATTTTCCCTAATATCCAATCTAAACCTCCCTTGGTGCAACTTGAGGCCATTTCCTCTCGTCCTATCACTAGTTACTGAGGAGAAGAGACCAACACCCACCTCACCACAACCCCCTTTCAGGTAGTTTTAGAGAGTGATAAGGTCTCCACTCAGCCTCTATCTCCATCTCCAGACAGATGAAGATAGCATAAAAGTGATTATTATTTGGAAAGAGTAAACACAAATAAAATATCTTTTTACAATTCATTACTAAACGCCATTAATAAACATGAACATAATTGTAGAAACTGGAGCTGAATGTTAGGAAATATTTGAACATAACAAGATACACTTGTTGAAATTTTTTGGGTTTTTTTCACGAATTCTGTGTAGAAACCTGTTTTTTATGTTTCAGGCTTTAAATTAGACTGGACAAAATTTCTAACAACTATAAGTATAAATATGGGCCTAAATGGCATTATAAAGGAGCTAATATAGCTAAGTGGGACATATATACCTATGCCATATATTGCCATATAAGGCAATAGACTGTAATCCCACATAAATAATTCTTGTTTTCTATATTTTTTATAAAATGAGGGGTGTTTGGTTCTTTCTTTGTTTTTTTTTTTTAATTTAATTATGCTCTTAGGATCTGTTCTACTAATGTCTGAAGAACTGCTAGTGAGGAATCTGTTATTTGTTGGATACATATCATATAAGAGATTTACGTATAATATAATATGTATAATAAAAGGGCTATGTTTGTTCTAATAAAATAACACCAGAACATGCAAACGAGCATGAAACTTGATCATTTCTCCTCTCAAAACATTAGAACAACTCCTGGACGTGTTTTTGTCTAAGATTCTCCAAGGCAATTTCCAAGAACAGTTCAAGTTAGCTTAACGCAGTACTGATGTTGGTAGGCAGCTTGCTAGCAGCTGTGCTGGTCCGGAGCGCAAGAGAGTTTCATTTTATGGATGTAGATTGCTCTGCGCTGGTCAACCTCTGCCAGATGATGGTCCCAACTGTGTTTAATTTATTAGTAGAGATCTACTTACAAAGTCCAAGGCAAATCATGAATAAGAGAAATCATAAGTCTATGATGAAATAATACTATGGGTTTGAGAGTTCAAGGCCTTTTAATTCACGCTTGTCTAAGGAAAAAGGCAACCTTACTAAAGCCAAGGGTAAAAAAAAAAAATCTGTGCTAAAATTATCAGTTTTCTAGCAGCTAAACTGAATGATTGGAAACTTCAGACATTTGGAATTTACATTTTCCAGGCAGTCTTCAGACAAATTTGTAATTTCTGCAACAGAATCTGCAGAAATTATACATATGAAAATTAAAACTATTTGAATGTCATTTCACCCTAAAAAAGTAGAAGGAGTATCATCTGTAGTTTTTACACCTCAGAACTTTCTCTGCACAGTGCAGTATTTGACTCTAATATATTGGTTATTGAAAGCAAGGATGAAATTTTGTTTTCCTATCAGAATTCTTGTAAATGTTGGCAAGATTTGTAAGACTACATGTTTTTGATGAGTTGTTCTTTTATTGTAGCTGGTCACTGTGGTTCTCCGGATCCAATTGTAAATGGTCATATTAGTGGAGATGGTTTCAGTTATCGTGACACTGTAGTCTACCAGTGTAATCCTGGCTTTCGACTTGTTGGTACATCTGTCAGAATTTGCCTACAGGATCACAAGTGGTCTGGACAAACTCCCGTTTGTGTCTGTAAGTATCATTAATTTTTCACTGAATTATTACTACTATTTTAAACATAATTGAGCATTAACAGTGGATTGGATGTTCAAAAGTGTTTGAATGAGGTGCTCAGATCAGGTATTTATTTGACCTATTTTCAATAGTCTAAATAACTATATCCAGTAATTTCTGATTTCTGTTGTTTCAGAAACAGGACAAAATAGGTATTGGAGTGGGTTGAACAGCAGGCTGAAAGTGTATAAATTCATCTATTGATCTCATCTATTGATTTCTCTCTTTCTCCAGGCATAACTTCTATGTCAAGTGTGGGCTTACTGAGCCTCTCCTCTATTTTTTCACCAGGCATACCAAAATCCCTTGGTTGCTTTTAATTGTTTGGTGGGTAAAACTGGAATACTGTTCATCTGTGCAGTTTTGATGGTGACTGCCCATTTTTTCCAAGCTGGCCTCCTAATATTTACCAGTGAAAGTCCAGACACAGTATTGGATTATACCACAACTGTTTAAAAAAATGTTAATTTTTTTTATACCCTTTGGTAGGATTCTTTTTGCTCTTAATTCACCTGCTTTTGAAAATCCCACAATTAATTACAGGAATTGTTGAGTCTTTCCACTCTACTTCCTTCCTTATTTGCATGGCAGGTTTTCTGACACTTTCTGAATCACCAGCCATTTAATCAGAATCAAGTCTGATTCCTCTGATTTTTTTTTACTACTTTATTGTGTAGTTGATTTCATTATTCTTTTTCAGTTTTAGAAAGGCTACCAATTTTTATACAATTTTGGTTATTTTTAATGGAACATTTAGATCAATTATTTCAATTTTGTATTTTTTTTAAGATGTCTGCAATTCAGACAAAAGTATATTTTTGTCTGCACAGAGATAGTCACTGAGACGATCAGCTTTTCTGTTCAAACCATGTTAGTATCTTTGTTCCATTTATGTGAAAATATATTACTGGTAAGTCATTCAAAATGTTCAGCATTTTCTTTCTTGGTGGTAAAATGAAAGTTTCTACCTGTATACAGCTGCAGGAAATACCAGCCAAATGTCATTGTCTTTTTAAAATCCTATTTATATCTTCAAGTGATTTATATTCATCAAAGGAGAAATGCCACCAGCTAGCATTATTACTTTTAGTGGATTAATTTTACTGTGCAGTGAATAAAATAATTTCAAAAGAAAGGGGCAAAACTGAGGGGGGGGGTAGCTGGCTGTTTCTTTCTAAATTGACGGTATCATTCCTGTTATGAGAAGAACTGGCAGCAATTTCGGTCATTATAGGTTGCCTAATACTTTCCATTACAACATGGTTTTCTTTTGCTTATAACTCTACCAAAGAGCCATACAAGATGATTTTTTTTATGTCAGCATCCAAGCTTCAGATGATTTTCCTTCTTTTATTTATTTATTAAAAATTATCATTAAAATGTCTCTGTTATTTCTGAGAAGGAACTGAAAACATACTGTATCAATGCTAGAAATGTACTCCCTAATGTGATCCTGAAACGGTCTTCTGACTGAGCAGTGTGGCACAGGAAGTAGAAATATGGCAGAGGTACCATAAAGAAGGTATGGGCTGTGCCCCTGACAATGTACCACAAATTGAGTTTTTTCAGAAGATCACGCATCATTTTATATTTCTAATTGGCTTTGAAAGGAATTTCAGAGTTGTAAGTACTAGACTGCAATCTGCAGAGAATATTATCTAAGGAAGTACATAGAGTACTCCACCCATGACTTCTTTAGCTTCTTAGTTTCATACAAAAGTCAGCCTCCTTCATCTCGCACAATTTTTGACACACAAGTGTTTTCCTATCTCTTTATTGGATAACCAGTTAGACCAAATTTTAGCCAAATATTTTCTGAAAGATCTTTTCACTTGCTGGTTATTGAGAGGTGGCATGAAATGTGGAGCTATGTGATTAGTTCCTTGTAAGTAACAGCACAACAAAAATCAGGAGAGTAACCTTCTTTACTAATGATGGCCAAAACATAGGCTGGGTACTCAGGATGGATTTTTTTCTTGTCCAAGTGCTATCAGTACTACCATTATTTCTTCTGGGTTACATATTTTCTCTGGTGAGATGGAGGTCTCCAGTGTCCAACAAAGATACTGTGTTAAAGACTGGAGTATATATCTGAGTTATATTGCATTAAGCAGGTTGATGTCTTTGCAATATAATAGGCAAATGTGTAATTCCTTAGCAAGTATTGATTTCAGACATGCCAAGGGCATCTATTGTTCCTTGACATATTTAGGACTAAGTATGTGTGTGAATATACATGCATGTGTGTGCACACATGCACAGGGCAGTTATTTACATTACGATGGAGGAGGGAATTTGTAATTCACCATTTAGATGACATAAAAACAATAGTAGTAACCTTTACTTGAAATGTCTTGGCTACTGCTTAGGTAAACAATATAAAATTGATTGCATGTAACTCTAGCGGTAAGTGAAAAAAGTATAATGCCAAAATTACCTACTTTGCTTTTTGGAAAAAAAAAGAAGTTGTTGCTTTTAAGTACTTGCTACTGTGTGAATCCAACTGTTGCAATGTTCATCAGTCAACTAGTAATTGATATCTAGTAACTATTATGGAACAGTGGCAGAACTAGATGCAGTGATTAAGATCTCAGAGTCCAATATATTTAGTTTCTGGAAGGTGGTAAACAAACTCAACACCCTGTCAAGAATAATGGCGTCTAAACAGGAACTGACTGACTAGGACTGAGACACCTAAATTTAATGTTTTAAAAACCTATGGCATATAATTTGTTCAGGACACTGCAGAAAGTTTAAGGTAATAACCCTTTTTTTAGTTTAATAAGTTTTTATATAAGAATTATATTAGTTGATTTAGTATGGCCCTGGAAATTTCTTTATTTGTTGAAACCTGATCATCTGCAACAGCTTAAATATGAAACAACTGGTCTAGAATAAAGTTGGTTCTCTGCATGTAGTAAGATTTTATTCTGATGTGTAGGGTTTCATCTTCAAATGCTGCAAATGAGATGGTGCAGAAACAATTCAAGTGGTTTAAGTAGATTTATTACACAATTTAATGGCTAAATACATAAGTCTGTATACAGGTCGGTGTCCTGTTTAATTCCCAGAGACCAGATACTGTTGAAAATACTGTTTCACAGTTGAACTCCATGATAAAATAAAGAGAATCACATTTAAATTATTTTTTACTTGTCTCTTCAACTAAAAAAAAAACAAACAAAAAAACCCCACAAAGTAATAAAACAAAAGATAAACCTGTGTATAGGATATTTGAGTATGATTTATCATCACCAACAAAATGTTGAAAAGTTGTGTAGGAGTATATATATACATTCTCATTTTATATTGCCAATATCTATGTTTTTTTATATTTTTCTGTATTATTTTAATGTTTTGTCATGTGGAAAGCTAGAGCTTGACCATAACACATGTATTTTATAAGTGTCATTTAAGCATCATCAACACACGTACTACACATAATGGGAAAGATTTACTCCCAACAATGATTTCTCTATTGCCATAAGAAAATATGATTAAAAGGATTACTACTTCAGCAAAGCATCTCAGGAACTTTTGAACAGGAATGCTTCAGAACTCCAGAATGCTCTGAAGCAGTACACCAAATCCTATTTGTTTGGCCTTACTACATTTTGAACCTTGCAAGGAATTTTTTTTTTATTTGCATTACTAGGATTTATAGTGGACTCCCTACATTTTTTAAGGTCTAATACATATCAGATGGATGTCAAAATGCATACACATATATATATATATAAAATTATTTATATTACAACTTTCAACATAAGGTAAAAAGTAGATTCAAAAAGTTTTATTGAAAAATTAAGATTTTTCTTCTGGCAGTTAAGAATTCTGAATAAAAATATCATTTTTTTTAAATTTTCTTTTATAAATATAAAAAAAAATCAGAGTTAAAAAAACCAAACAACAAAAGATCTCCAGCCTGCAAGTGATTACATGGAACAGTACCTTTCAGTTAGATGCTAACCTCCTTATTTTTCTTTTAACAGCAATCACATGTGGACATCCTGGGAATCCAGCTCATGGCATGACTAATGGCAGTGAGTTCAATTTAAATGATGTTGTAAATTTTACTTGCAACACTGGATATTTACTTCAGGGTGCTTCTCGAGCACAGTGCCGAAGCAATGGGCAGTGGAGTAGCCCTTTACCCAACTGCCGAGGTAAGAAACTTTCTCATACATTCTCTGCTCTTTAATGACTTATTTCAGGCATGATCTTTTAGCCTGCCTTAAAAATATTGGGTTATAATACAGAAACCTGACCTTTAGGAACTTATTGCCGCCTTCATTTGAGTTTTTGCATTTCTATATTGGAAAATGGAGTTAGGGTTGAGTATTGGGGAAGCCTAGGCTGTTCAGTATTTTACCTCAGAGTCCTCAAACTGCAATCCCTAGAATTTAGTTTATAAACATATAAAGTGTACTTTGTATCACAAATGTTAAATTACATTAATAAATCAGATTTGGTTATCTAGCCTGAATTAGGTGCCCTAGAGTACAGTTTCCATAAATGGTCCATTACTCCTATTAAAACATAGTTATGTGAAGAATATTCATGCATTCACACTATTAATTCTTCTGTACTTCCTAGCAATACCTGAGAAATGTTAATAACTTTTGTTCATGTGAAACTTGACTTTCCTTTGCCCCCCCCGAAAATGATAAAGTAAGATTTAATTCTGGCTGGTTTTTTACCAATACATATCTGAACTTGATTACTAGTATGGTCTGGGTAAGATGGAGAGGTTTGAGAGATGAGAGTGAAGCAAGGGTTTGTGTTATGAAGAAACCTGTGTATCAAAAGTACATATTTGGGAAGGATGAAAAGAAACCATTTGAAAACACAACCCAAATTTCTCAGATTTCAATGTGTCCTTATAATTTATTTTTCCAGATGCCAGTAACATAATTAAGATTAAAAGGGAAACAAGTCTCTGAAGTTAGCCTATTGTTACTCTTTCCAGTTATGGCCATTGTTTTTATTTATTTTCCTCAATCTTTGGCTATCATTGCAGAATATGAAGCTAATATCAAATCGTTGGCCTGTTTCACCAATATTTTTATCAGATGACTAACATCTGTTCATTGGTCTATTGTTTTTATGTTGTATGCCCTGAAATATCTTGTATTGGTATAATACATGCTTTCTCAATGCTGAATCCAATAAGCTGCTGAAAATATTTAATGATATTGTGTAATGTTTGCTTCTGAATTTCTAAGGCAGATTGAATGTCTTCTGCCTATAAAATAGACGCAAATTGTCAGAGAAGTGAGAGGCAGGACATGAGGTGAATCATATAAGATATAGAAAGGTCTCAAAACCCTAGAAAAAATTTTATGAGATACTGTATATCCTTCATTGCTCTTTCAGTGAAGGCTCCAGAAGGAAATGTATTCTAAGGACCTAATTTTAAAATGTTGTTCTTGGTCATATTCTCTTTTCAAACATGGAATTGTCCAGGTCCATTTATAACTTTTAACAACAGTACTAATTTCCAAATGTGTAAACTGAAAGCAAATAAATAATGCTTAGTCTCTGCAGAGAGATTTTGCCTGGTATGGAACATGCAAAGAAATAAAACACAAAGATCAATCAATCGATCAATTGATCAATTGATCTATCTATAAATGTATGCATATATATAGAAAAAATATACGTATTATACCTAAGATATATTTTTGAGTGTTAAATTGGAATTGGCAAGGCTGGCAAGATTTTCCCTCTGTGACATAATTTGGCAAATGTTTGCTAAATCATGCAGCCTCTGAAAGGAATATCACATAATGCACTTAGTTTTTTTCTTAAGCTGATGAACCTTTCAGTTCTTTTTCATGGATTCTATCTCATGCCTGAATGCTGACTAAAGATTCTTTATAAATTACTTTACAAATTTAAAAAACATAATTTTTTAAATCACCTCTTCTTCCACTATTCAGAATACAAGTCTGGAATTCTATTGTCCTCTCTGATTAGACAGCTCCAAGTTAGACAGCTTGTTGAAAAGTGGTTTAACAATAAAGCAGGTAAAATAATTTGTCCAGAAATACAATGGTTAGTAACCTTTTCTTGAGTATTTTCTTTCACTGGAAAAATTATCACTTAAATGTTAAATCAACCTAAGTACTATGCTTTTTGTCCTTTGTAACTTGTATTTAATGTGCTAAAGAAAATAGCAGTCAGCAAAGTTGCGCTAAGGGTACCAACACTGGGACTAAAAATCATGTAATAAGAAGTTAACTTCAGGTATGGGTGGCTTTATTATCTCCACCTGTTGGTTTGTTAAAAATCATATTGTATTGCAGTGATTGTTCCTAAGAATAATAACTATCTTTGGTGATTAACTCATCATGTTGTTTCAGAGATAGCTGATGCAATTTTAAGTTCAGTGTGTGTACAATTAGATCTTTCATTCTCATTAAAACAATGGCAATTGCCAAGAGATGGCAATTCCCTCGATCACTACCCTCACAATTTATTCAAGTGAGTTAACTACCATAGCAATGTAATGATTGGAATGGAGAAACAGGAATTAGCAAACTGTTCCTATTTAGGCTCATGTACTTTTTTTCCCCTTTTATACTGTTTTGTGTTGACAGACCTTAGTGAACAAAGTCCTCTATCTCATCTGTGAGGCATTTAAGTAAGGTTTTTTTGTTGACAATATACACTTTTTCAGATATCCTGTAAATGCAGTCCAGATCTGCTCTGTTTGACTGTCAGAGGCAGAGACTGCACAGATTTACTGAAGTTCAAGCCAATTTATGATCTGAGTTAACTCAGCTGTTTACATTGAACTCAAGTACATTTATTAAAAGGAAAATGAGTGAATGCGAAAGAAGAAATAAAAAGGAAATTTATGAAAAATATGCAAAGGCTGAGAAGATTTTAAAAAAAAGGACATGAAGGATCTTTGCTTGCAAGCTAGTGATGTTTATTGACAGGGTTTTAAACTAGTCTTAAAGTGGGGGGGATAATATCAGGCTTATCCATGACAAGCTGTGGGATGACATACTAAGGTTAGAGGGACAGGGACCTCAGCCTGTTGCACCAGAGAAAGACCTCAAAGAAACTAAAAGGTGTTGCTCTAAGAGAGTGACATAGCTGACAGCCCAGCTGAACCGACCCATGAATGCGGCATGGGCAACAAATAGGAGCAGTTGGAAGTCACTGTGCTGGTAGAAAGCTATGACGTGGTTAATATTACTGAAACATGGTGGGACAAACTCCATGACTGGAGTGCCACTATTGGTGGCTACAGGCTGTTGAGAAGAGACAAGCAAGGAGGAAGGGTGGAGGCAAGGTGGAGGCATTGCCCTCTACATCAGGAAATGGATACAGTGTGAAGAGCTGTCTCTGAAGAACAGCCACGAGCACTTGAAAGCTTATGGGTAAGAGTCAGAGACCAACGCAACAAACGGAATCTTGTGGTTGGTGTCTACTATGGGCTGCCCGATCAGGAGGAGCCTATTGATGAAGCTTTCTAACTCCAGCCACAGGAAGCATCACACTCACAAGCTCTCGTCCTGCTGGGAGACTTCAACCACCCCCACACCTTTTGGAAAAGCAGCACAGTGAGCTGTAGGCAATCCAGGAGGCTCCTGGAGTGCATGGAGGATAACTTCTTAAGACAGGTAATAGACAGGCCTACCAGAGGGCATGCCATATGTCACCTGTTGGTCACAAACACACGTGAGCTAATTGGTGACATCAAGACTGGAGGCAGCCTGACCTGCAGTGATCATGCTCTGCTGGAGTTTGCAGTCCTGAGGGATATGGGGCAGGCGAAGAGTAAAGTCAGGATCCTGAGTTTTAGGAAAGCAAACTTCCAGCTCCTTAATGAGTTAGTCAACAGGAACCCCTGGGAAACTGCCCTCAGTGACAAGGGAGCAGAACAGGGCTGGCAGATCTTTAAGGATGCTTTCCATAGAATGCAAGAGCGCTCCATCCCCAGGTGTGAGAAATCAGGAAAGGAAGGCAAAAGACCAGCATGGCTGAATGGAGACCTGCTTGGCAAACTAAAGGGCAAGAAGAAAATGCACAGGCAGTGGAAGCGGGGCAGGTCAAACACGTAAACAGGTTGCTCAGAGAAGTTGTGGAATCTCCATTACTATAGGTGTGTAAAACCTGACTGGACAAAGCCCTGGACAAACTGCTTTAGTTGTCCCTTCCAACTTCAACTATTCTGTGATGATATGATTCTGTGATTCTTTATAATTTATGGGTAAAGACTTTGACAGATGCATTTGGAGAATCTTGCTCAGGTGGTATGTGGTGTCACTAGACCTTTTTTTCTGCTGATCCCACTCTTTTAGGGTGCTACATATGACAGAGTTAACAAAAATAAGGAGACTGCAAGCTTTTCAGGTTAAAACAGAGTCTCACAGATTAATGTAAATGGAACCAATTTATGATACTGTAATCTAGATCATCTGATCTAGGGTAACTAGATGGGTAACTAAGGTTGCCTCTTAACCATCTCTGCATGACTTTCCAGCACTCGAAAAACACTTAAAAATAACTATAAGTACAGAGGTTACAAATCTTTTCCCCATATTAGATAAGTACAGTACAAAAGGAAAGGAACTTCAATGAGTAAAAATTATTCCACATATCAATTAAACAGTATAAGAGGTTATCTAAATCCTAAGGTCCTGAAACTCTATTGTTTCAAGCCTGCCAGCATCAAAGCTTATGATTGACACTGTTAAGAACCCTAGCTGAAGCAAAAGGAGAATAATTTTTTTCATATATTGCTGTGTAAATATTCTGTCTTAAAACAAATGAGTAATTGGAATTTTCTAGCAAAAAACATGCCTATACGCTGCTATATTCTCATAATGTATTTAGAAATTCACTGTGAAACAAAAACTTCTGGTATTCTTTCAAAAGAATGGAAAGAGAAGTACAGAGCAGACTATTTGAAACCTCCATACCAGCCAGGCATGTTCCCACGGATCTCTTCTCTACATGCATCTACCTAGTTTAATTCTACCTGTATATCTGGGTAAAGGAGTCTTCTCTACTCTAAGCTGCCTCCCTGTAACCTCACATTTCATCAGTTCACTGAGAGCAGTATTTGGTGTACCATTTAAGATTTTTATTTCAGTAAATACTGTATTTTTGGACCATATGCTGTGAAAATTGCTGTAACATTTTTATGATAATTATGTTTTTATAGTTATAATTTGATGTAGTTTGTATTAAAGGATGAATCTGCATAGTTCAAAATGACTAGAGATTCTTTTTTCCAAAAAGATTTAAATAAAATAAATCTTGAATTACATTACTTACATGAAAGAAGAGCAAAAAGTCCTCAGTAGTTAGATTTAACAAATAATAAAGTGCATTTCAAAGATGAAATTATGTTGAAATGATAATTTTACATCCACGATTTAAAAAAATAAAATCAAAGTTCTACCAACTAAATGGCTTATATCAAATTTACACTTAATGAATTAATTAGAACTTAACCTAAAGCAAGTAATAGCACTTCTTCTGGCACATGCCTTTCCTTCTAAAATTGCCTTTTATCTAATGGGTAAAAAGCATTTGTATTAAAGTTCATTGTTAGTGATGAATTATGAATTTGTGTACAAAGAAAGTAAATATTCCAGCTCCTTAAACATACTGCTGGGAAGGGATTGATGTTCCTGGCAAACCTGTACCATTTAATTCAACAGAGATTTTATATATGACCTTTCTTTCAAACCTCGGTTGAGTTCACTTGTGTCAATAATGAACTTGGCTTCACATCACTGAGACTCTGCATGCAGTTACTACAAAATACGGATTACTGTTTGAGGCTATTGCAGAAGATTATTTATTTTATTATTTTATTTATTTTATTTTATTTTATTTTATTTCACAACTGAGCTATTATGTATGCATGGGAAACCTTGATGTTTTCATAAAATAAAGCTGGGCAGTTCTCAGGCACTCTTTTGTAAAGATACATTGCTTCTATCTATTGTGTCAGTAGTAGGTAAACTAATAAGTCAATGGCAGGAAATTTACCAAAGAAATTCTATGAGGTTTTATGCCCAACGAGAAGTAGTGCACACAAAATGGCTTGCTGTGATGTTGGGATACTTTGTGAGATAAAAACCTCAATTTTTAAAAATTATTAACGCAATTTCTTTTTAAAAATTATATTTAATCCTATATATATACACAAATTAATATTTGTAATAGTCATTTCTGGAATGTTGAGGTCACTGAGGTATGATTTTAAAATCATAATTTGTGAGCTAGGATATTTTCATTTCCACATGGACTCTATCTTTGCCTTTATTTATTTGATGAAGAACATGGAAAGTAGTCCGTTTACTTGCCTTTCAGCTGGAATCAAATGGCAATGGAAATCTCTGTTCTCTTTGACAAACCTTTCTGAGCAGGACTTTGTACAGCCTGAATGTATTACCCCAGAACTAGCTATGAAAATATCAGATCCTAAAACAGATATGTTCAGTAGAGATTTTTTTCCCTTAGCAGTTTGGAACTGCTTTCTATTTTGTCTTTTGAAACACAGAAACCCAATCTCTGCACTTTCTACTTTTCATAGTAACTCTTAACCACCAAAATGAGAGCTCAGTCAAATGGTCTCATCAGGGCTCTGCACTCCTGATTGCACTGCAGGCCATTTTTCCATATATTATGCTTGAAATAAGAACTGCTGTATTAAACACCACACTTAACCACATCTTCTAGAATTCAAGTGTTTACAAGAAGGAGATCTTCTTGTTCTGGTTTCTTTGCTTTGTCATTGGATAAACTGTCCTATCATTTGCTGCCAGTTCATAAGGCAGTGTCAGATTCATAATCTATGTCAGGAAAAGTGTGTATCCTTTTCTACTGTTCCCTTCAGAATCTGTAATACCATCTTATAAATGAGATTTAAGAGCTTTTTGCCTATAAAAAACGTGTTTTGTAAAAGCAGAATTTTTTTATGGGGAAGATTTGTTTGGCAAATTTGCAGAGGTTTGAGTTAGCTCACATTCTCCAGTCTGCATCAGTAAGTCCAGGCCATTTGTTAGTAATAAAGAATTCATGTCTCTCTTCATTTATCCTGGTTTTATACTGAATTTCTAATTTGAAAGTTTTTTCTTTCTTTATCTCCTTACCGATAGATTCTTGAAAAGCTCGGTTAGACTTTTTGTCTTATCAGGAATCTGATATCTACAAGGAACTGTCAATTTTGTTGTGATTTCTTTAGTGGGTGTATCATCCGAACCAGTGGTAGCGTTCCACTCCTTCACTGGCAAGAAAAATAACCTTTCTGATGACAGCTGATAGAAGGGTGGGAGAGATTGAGACTGATGACCACTTCTTCTCATCCAAAGATAAAGCAACTCGGAATGTAAACAGTTTTCCATCTGTGGTGGTATCAAGGATTCATTTATAAGCTGAGAAAATTTTGTGTTTTGTTCGGTTTTGTTGTTCCAAAGTGAGAGGCCTTTGTTGAGACTTTTACATACTTTGAATGTTAGATATACCTAATCTGTTCATGTTGATGGCATGCTGAGATCCTTCAGAAAGATAATTAGAACTTGACTAAGTTTCCTAAATAAAGAGAGGAGATGGCATGGGAGATGCCATACAACATCTGAGATATTCACCCGAAACTAGAAGGATTTACAATTAATCCTGCACCTCTCTGTGTGGCACCTGTCTGGAGATCAAGCAAAGATATCTCAAACGTAGCGGAAACATTTTTTGAGGCAACTGAATAGAGTTCCTCTCACATGTGAAAAACAATGCTTTGATGAAGAAAAATCTGAAGAGCAAGACATTAAGATGTGCCTCCAGAGTTTGTACTATTATGACAGAAGTTATTGCATTGATACTATTTGTACATAAGCACCCACAAATGAATTTCCATGTAGAAAACTGTCCTGGTTTAACCCCAGCTGGCAACTAAGCACCCACAGCTGCTCGCTCACTCTCCCAGCAGTGGGATGGGGAAAAAAATCCAGAAGGGTAACAGTGAAAAAAAATGGTACGTTTAGATAAAAACAGCTTAATAAGTAAAGAGAAAGCCGTGCACAAAAGCAAAACGAAACAAGGCATTCATTCACTACTTCCCCTGGGCAGGCAGGTGTTCAGCCATCTCCAGGGAAGCAGGGCTCCATCATGAGTAACGGTTACTTGGGAAGACAAACGCCGTCACTCCAAACATCCCCCCCTTCCTTCTTCTTCCCCCAGCTTTATATGCTGAGCATGATGTCGTATGGTATGCGATATCCCTTTGGTCAGTTCGGGTCAGCTGTCCCAGCTGTGTCTGCTCCCAACTTTTTATGCTCCCCCAGCCTGCTCGCTGGTGGGGTGGTGAGAGAAGCAGAAAAGTCCTTGACTGTGTAAGCACTGCTCAGCAATAACAAAAACATCCCTGTATTATCAACACTGTTTTCATCACAAATCCAAAACACAGCCCCATACTAGCTACTATGAAGAAAATTAAGTCTACCACAGCCAAAACCAGCACAATACATCTAGAGAACAATGGCAGGTAAGTACTTTATCTTTCTGATCTATCTGCTATTGTAATGCCTGAGTTCATGCTGGGTATGGAACAGGAAAAAAAGATTTCATATGTATCCAAGAGACAAATACATGCTTTATAAATTAGTTTTTCTGGTGTTCCAAAGAAAAGAGCTGTTTTATAAAATTGGACTAACTAATTTCAAAGCTTA